TTATGGGCCAGATGGGATCCACCTGAGGGTACTGAGTGTCCTGGTAAAGTGCTCCCTGAGCCACCATTTACCAGCAGATTTGGCCACAGGGAGAGGTCCCGACTGACTGGATTTTAGCCAGTGTGACACCCATGTTCTGGAAGTGCTGGAAGGTGAATACAGGGAACTACAGGCCTATCAACCTGATCTCAGTGCCCAGGAAAGTGATGGAGCAGACCATTTTCAGTGTCATCATGTGGCATGTACCAGCTAAGGGAATTGGGCATGAGTTCATGAAAGGCAGGTCCTGCTTGATCAACCTGATCTCCTTCTATGACAGGGTGACCTACTTAGTGGATGTGGGAAAGGCTTTACATTTTGTCTGTCTGCCTGGACTTCAGTGAAGCATCTTGACACTTTTTCCCAGTTTTCTCCTGCAGAAACTGGCTAGTCATGGCTTGGATGGGTGCATTGTTCACTTGGTGAAAAACTGGCTGGCTGGATGGTTGGGCCCATAGATGGTGGTTAATGGAGTTATATCCAGCTGGCAACCAGTCACCAGTGGAGTTCCCTATGGCTCAGTATTGAGGCCAGTCCTGTTTAAGATCTTTATCAATGACCTGGACAACGGGATTAAGGGCACCCTCAGTCAGTTTGCAGACCACACCAAGCTGGGTGGGAGTGTTAATCTGCTGGAGGACAGGAAGGCTCTGCAGAGGGATTTGGACAGCTGGATCAATGGGCTGAGACCGACTGCATGAGGTCAACAAGGCCAAGTACTGAGTCCTGCCCTTGGGCTACAGGAATCTCAGGCAGTGCTACAGGCTGGGGGCAGAGTGGTTGGAAACTGGCCTGGCAGAAAAGGACCCTGGGGTGTGCTGTTTGACAGCAGCTGAACACGAAGCCAGTGATTTGACCAAGTGGCCAAGAATGCCGGTTGCATCCTGGCTTGCATCAGCAATAGTGTGGCCAACAGGACCAGGGCAGTGATTGTCCCCCTGTACTCGGCACTGGTGAGGCTGAACCTTGAGTCCTGTGTTCAGTTTTGGGTCCCTTCATGCAAGAAAGACACTGACATGCTGGAACATGTCCAGAGAAGGGCAAAGGAACTCGTGAAGGGTCTGAGAACAAGGCCTGCGAGGAACGACTGAGAGAGCTGGGGTTTTTCAGCCTGGAGAAAAGGAGACTGAGGGGAGACCTTACTGTTCTCTGCAACTGCCTGAAAGGAGGCTGTAGCGAGGTGGGGTCAGTCTCTTCTCCCGGGTAACTGGTGATAGAACAAGAGGAAATGGCCTCAAATGGCCCCAGGGGAGATTTAGATTTGAAATTAAGGAAAATTGTTTCGCTGAAAGGGTTATCAAACATTGGAATGGACTCTCGGGGAAAGGTTGGAGTCACCATCCCTGAAGGTATTTAAAAGCCATGTAGATGTAGCACTTAGGGACATGGTTTGGTAGTGGACCTGACAGTGTTGGGCTAATGGTTGGACTTCATGATCTTAGAGGCTTTTTCCAACCAAATGTCAGGGTCTCTGCCAGTTAACCAGATACTGTTGCTGAATTAAACAGAACTGTGGAAAATCCCACCAGCAAGGTCTCTTATGCTTGAACCAATCTTGCCTAAAGTGTTTAATGACCTGAAAAATAGTTACAATAGCAGGACAACACAATAATGTAAAATGCTAAATGAAATTATATGTTAATGAACATAAAGTAGTGTGTGTGGGAAGGCAAAGAAAATGGATGAACAATTTCATTTTATGTATAGAGTAGAAAACTATGTATTATCACTCATGGAAAAGGTTTTGAAATCAAAATAAGCAGATTTTTGATAAGGTAAAAAGGTAAAAATCAAACAGCCCTCTGGAAAACACTTTATTAAAAGTTAAATTTAATTTAAGAATTGTTGGAAAATCAGGGTAGTGCAGAAAATGTGTTTCAAATGTATAAATCTATAATTTATCTGAATATTGTAAATTGTGTCCTGTCCTTGCTGTCACATCTTAGGACACAGGAATACTGGAAATGACTTTTTGAAAAGGTGAGGAGAGTAAATGAATGATCAGAGCAGTGGAAAAATGTCTGTATGGTGATAGACTAGATAGACCAAGTTTCTCTACCTTGGAAATAAAATAACCTAGAGAAGATAAGGTGGAGCAAATAAAATACTGAATTACATGAAGAGAGTGAATGCAGAACTGTCATTTCAGTATCTCTTAAAATATAAGAACCAAAGAGTTTGTGTTTATATGTCTAAGCAAGTTTAAAACAAACAGTAAGAAACACTTTATCATATAAAAAATAATCAAACAATGTGAGACACTGCCACTAGATGTTGCAAAGGCCAAAAGTTTAACTGAGTTCAAAAAGGGATTAATGGCTACTTTTGTTTCATGAATTGTAAAAACATCCTGCTCAGACACAACTTCTGGCTGAGGAAGTTCCTAAACCACTAATTGCCAGAAGATGGGAAGGAGGGGTTGCTCAGCTCTTGCCACAGTTCTTATAATCTTTCCTTATGCATCTCCTAATGGGCGTGTTGGGACCAGGATAATGGGCTAGACAGATTGTTTTGTTTCTTTTTTTTTTTTTTTGTCTGACCCATTATGGGTTTTATTTTGTAGGTGTAGATATTTTTTTCAGTAATAGGGAGACAAAACAGAAATTTTCAACTTGTTTTTTGAGTTCAGTAAATGCTGTCTGGATTATGATTCTTAATAGCTACTTATGAATGATCACACTTTTTTACTTTTCTTATTTAAAAATATAAAAAATTAGTCCAAAAATTCATCTGCTGCACTCTGAGGAAGTTTTTCTCTAAATACAGGGAAATTTGGATGAAGGTGAATCATTTATGCATTTCATTTGAGTGATAATGCTGTATGTCTAATTTAAAGACCAAGGTGTCAGAAAAGCTGAGATAGTAAGCAGGGGGAGTTTTCTGTGGCCCTTCTCTGAAAGGATGCGAAGGGTGTTATTTTTGCTATTGCTTTCAGTTAAGGAATAATAAGTCTCAGTGAAAGAATATCCTAAATTCTACACTTGTGCTTCCAACAATTAGTAGGAGCAGAAGCCAACAAGGAGAGTTTCTTTAACATCTGTACTTTTTTTTGTACAACTGTATAATCTTTTTTTCTCCTCAAAGTTTGGCTTTTGGGACTAGAGGAAATATGAATGATTTTTTTGTTGTTGTTGGGTTTTTCCCTCACTAACCTTCTGTTCTAGTTTTTTTCATGTAAATTTATAATATCGAAGTTTATTTCTACTTATTAAACAGAGATTTAATCAATTATCATAGAGCACTTTGGAAATGAAAGATACATTACTCTGCGTCAAATGAGTTTGTCCTGATCTGCATGCAAACTATGCACTACATTATAAATCATGGTCTCAAACTTCTAAAGTTGTTGGTTTTGCTTATTAGGAAACCTTGCTTCAGATCCAAAAAGGCAATAAGGAAGCATGAAGAAAGTGGACCTCAATTGATCATGAAATGTAATTACACAATATTCAGAGCTGAGTGAAATAAAGACATTAAATGGCAGTAGCCTGTAAAGGTTAAAATTAAAAGTAGTTTCATCATATATGGTGAAAAGGGAGATTGGATCAATGAAACTGATCTCTTGTATCTTGTTTGCTGTCAATTTGTATGAAGTGATACTTGAGGTGCGGCTCCTTTTCATATGTACATAAATACATTTTTTTAATTTATGGAATATTACTGGAGTGGTCTGTCAGGAGATTTCTTGAGTTGGGCTGGTGCTCAGTGTATAAATGGAAGCACAAGAATGAAAAAAGCCTTCCACCTGGTCATCCTTAGCCTAGCTAATGTAATTGCAGATTTTGTTCTAACAGTAAGGTTTAATGTAACAACACAGATCATTACTGCTGTGTTGCTGAGTTGCAATGAATCAGCATCTGAATTAAAAGAATGGGGACTGTAATAAAAACTTGGTTTTGTCCTTTCTGGTATAGTATCCTTGAAAACTGCATCTTGTATCCAGAAGGTAGACAGCAATCCACTACAGTGTCAGATTATCTGTAGGATACCAATAGAAACTTGAAAAAAATTAATTTTCTCTAACTTTTGTTTAATCTAATTTCTCCTTTACCTTTTAACTTCAACTCTTTGGGAATCCTTAGTATGAATGGAGTGAGGATTAAGGTATTTTTATTAGGTTCTGGGCACCTTTTTACAAGAAAAAAAAATTAAGCACCTCCATCTCAAGTCTCTGGGGAACTTGTGATCCCTCACAAAGATGAGCTCAGAACAGCTCAGTACAACTTCTGCCTCAGGTACCACATTTTGCTAGCTGAAGGGTGCAATGGCATGAAATGTAGGTTCATTGCCCTTGTGTCAGGGAGTACTTATCAAGGAGTTTTTCAGCTTTACTGGTTCACATCATATTTGTTGTAGTGCAAAAACGCGACTTGGAAGTCAGATCTGCATATTGTACAGAGCAACGAGAAATAAGAGGGAAGGTAAAGATCTGATGAGGAAGCAGAATCTAGCTGAGGTTTAAGGAATTATGATATGGCAGAAACAGATACTGCTGACAGTGTTGTTAACTTGATTTGGCTGTGTAAGTTCACGTGGAAGAGCTTTGAAGAGATGCTGCAAGGTAAAACTCTGTTAAGCACTTAATAGGCAAAGTGTCTAGAAAAACCTGACAATCCCATAAACAACAAGCAAACATAACTTTACTCCTTCTCCATGTTAAATATACATCTGAATGTACAAGAAATTTTTCCTTAAAAAGCATTCTGTTTACTACTGATTTTTCAGAAATAATTTTATAGCAGGGAATGTGATGTAAAGGTGATTAGAAAACCAGAACCTGTATTTGGAATAAAAAGCTAAACACGTCACTATGTTACTACAAGCCAGTCGTTTTTACAATTGTTTGCCTTTTGTCAATCAATTGCAACCTAGTAATGGATACAGCTGTATGGTGTTGCTGGTGGTTATTCTAAGGTTGTTTTGCTTTCCCTCATTCTCTTCTCTCTTTCTCTGCCTTCTAGTATGCACTTAATCCAGGTGGACTCTGTTCAGCGTTGGATGGAAGATTTGAAGTTGATGACAGACTGTGAATGTATGTGCATTCTCCAGTCCAAGCCCATCAGCATTGAGAAGGACGAACAAAATGAACTTATGCTTTCCTCCCAATATAGCACTTGTGATAACTTGCAGCTTCTGTTAAAGAGAGCTTGGATCATAAGCACAGAATTGACTAGGATTGCTCAAAAGCTGGAGAAGAATAGGTGGCAGAGAGTCCACAGCATGACAGTAAGAGTCAACTGCCACGTGCGTTCAATGATAAATGAGTACAATACGTTCACCAGGAATTCTTCAGAAGAAATGCACCAGGTATGATGCTTTACCTGATATCATGTTTCTCTTATTTATTATTATTATTATTACTTATTTTCAACAATCTGTAAGAAATCCTTGTGTGCTGATACTGATCCCTTGTTTAAGACTTTCCAATGCCTTTTCAGTGATGGATATTTTATTGAATTATTTTCGATCCTGTTTTATAGGCTTGATTATGAATGTTAATAATGACTAATTGTGCTGAAAAACATTTTGCTTTGAAACACTACAAGACCTAAAGTGTTTCGACGCACCATCTGTGAGTTCCTTCGCATTTCCAACCTAGAAAATGATACTTTTTTGTTGACTTCAGTTTTATCTGTACCTGTTTTATTTAGAAAAGTAGATAAAGAAGGTTCATGTGAAATATTATGTTTCTGGAGGTTTTTCAATTAACAAACAAGCATTACTTATTTTGGTAAAGAAATTGTGTGTATGGATATTGCTTTAAAACCACTTTATCTTTCTCTCTCTGCAGTTTGAAAAACTTTTAATAGACAAGTGTTCAGAATTTACAACATTCACAGAAAGGTAACCTAAATTTTATAGTTGGAACATTAATTTTACTGTTCTATTATGTTGTGGAATTTCTAATGAGAAGCACAAATCCATTAACACCCTCAGTTGTTTGGAATAGGCCCCTGTAGCTCTGCAAGGCTTTCTAAATATTAGTTTGTGGTGGGTAAAGTGAGTTGCTTTTATCTAAACTGCACCCTTATGAAAGATGGGATCTGCTGTTGCACAAAAAGCCTGGCATAGATGCAAAGATTCATGCAAGTGGATTTTTCAGGACTTACAGACATCATCAAGGGAGAAAGTCTGGCTCTAAGGATCTCAGTGACAAAGTACCCTTCTAGTTCTGTGGAGCCAAGATTTCAGCTGGTGTGAAAACCTAGAATACACATATCCATGTATTTATTAGTAAATCAAACCAAAATAAACACACAATCCTTTAAATTGTAGTTGTAGGTTTACTCATCTCCCTGCACTCTCGAATGCTGAGACTAGAAAGTAAGAATCTCTATAATTCTTCTCCTGATATCCCCACTTTTTAAGTTACCCATTGCCTCCAGTGCAGTTCAGGCACTCCTCTTAGATTTACTTTAAACACTGTGCAAGTCAGTTTGCTTCAGGGGATCATCAGGGAAAAGACACCATATAATTATCAGGAAATAACATTTTTTGGAGCATAATTTCTTTCTGCCAAACCCACACAGCTCAGACTTTACTTTTATATACTACTGTGAGACACACTGATTTAATGAGAGCTCTGATTTCAAAGTGTCTGTCCCAAATCAGCCATCCCCCTCCTTGTCTTTTTGACAAGAATTTGATATAGGTGGGTGACAGGTAAAGCTGAAAATGTGTTGGTAAAGAGAGTGATCAACCAAACTGTATCTTCGATTACAGTGGCCTGTCTTGGTGGAATATGTTTTGGCAATTCAAATGAATGTATTGCTGTGAGGAAATATTAGTTATTGCATTTGAATTGTATAAAGTTTTCTATCTTTATCTCATTTCTTCAATTATAGCCAACCATTACTGGTTACAGGACAACTATGCTAACTCTGTAAAGCTGCATTATGTAATCTTTCTGCATAGAAGGACAAATATTATTTTTCAGTATGCTTTTTAACTCATCTGGACACACATTCATTCCGGGGTCCTTATTCTGCTATCATTAAATTATGGCAAAAAAAAAGTAAAGAAATTAAAATTATGGAAAGCTCTTTGATCATGAAAGACAGATGGATGTTCAGAGCTGCAGCTGAAATGCAAGCATCTGAGAGTGACAGGAACTATAAGCACAAGTGGAAAAGAGCAGAGTTATGAACACACAGCATCTGCAGCAAAATTTGGCCTGCAGTCTGTGCAGTAAATTGTGATCCCAAAATGATTCATTAATGTCCACTATTGTTTTTTCATGGTATACTTACTATGTGCGTGGTATACTTACTAAGCTTTAGTCAAAGTCTGGGGTGATGTTAATGGCACATAGGCATTGTCCTTGTAAACAGCTGAATTCCCAGTATGAACTCAGGGCTCACATCTGAGGTGACAATCAGACAATTATCTGTTGCATCTTTTTTCCCTCATCTCTTTCCTTTCTTTTTCTTTTCAGGTGCATACAGACTGAAGATGAAGAGATACTGAAGTCTATGAAATCCTGTATTAATGAAACACTCACCACTGTTGCCCAGTATTTTGGTCAGTTGATAGAGCTGGTTTTAACACATAAGACACAGGTTAGTTATTAGTAAAAAAAAAAAAAAAAATTCCAAAGTTATTGAATCTTGGGGGAGATCATCCACTGACAATCCAAGGCCAGGTTGGATGGGGCTCTGATGAACCTGATTGTAGTGAAAGGTGTCCCTGCTCATAGCATGGGGTGGAACTAGATGGTCTTTAAGGCCCCTTGAAACCCAAGCCACTCTAGGATTAAGAAGAAGACTAGAATTACAACTCTCAGTTTTCAATAAACTTACGATCAGTAATTCACATATGTTGCGATGAGATTTAGGTAGTTGTAGTCTCAAATCCTCCAATAAACTTAAATCCCAGACAAAATGATCTTGCAGCTTACCACTTTACTTACTTTTCCTGATGTCTCTCCTTTCTTGCAAACTAACTTCTGGAAAATGTTTTGTCAATAAGATCTTTGGAAACTCTTTCAGTTCCTTTCGTACAGACACTGATTTCCTTTAGAAACCTTGGAAAAAAAGTGTCTCCTGCTCTCAGTAATTCTCATTAAAAGCTGAACTTTTAAAGCATGTATATGTAGCAAGTATATTATTGCAGCACACATTTTAAACAGTGCATATTTTAGACTCTAAGGAGCAGTGATAAAATATAGTGCTGTGTACAGGTTATACATTGTCCAGAGAGGTTGTTGACTCTTCTTCCCTGGAGATACTCAAGAGCTGCCTGAACACAATGCTGAGTTAACGTGCTAGGGAATCCTACTTGAGCAGGCAGGTTGGGCTAGATGACTTCTAGTGGTCCCTTCCAGCCTCACCCATGCTGTGATTCCAATTACATGAAATACACTGAGCAATTAGTCTGAGACTGCAAATGCATTAACTGTTCTTCCACTAGACCATTCTTGAAATAGTAGCAACCTGCAAACCTGACCTTATATCATGATTTATACTGTTTTGTTGAGATCTCAGTAGAAATCCTTTTGCATCCCCTAGTCTTCCTCATTTATGCCCAACTAATCTGTCCATGTTTTAGAGGAGATGTTAGGCTGACATTTTTTTGTTGTCCCCATAGAAAAAGAGGACAGGAAAGGCTTAGTGAAGATGAAAGAGTTAATTAGTATTTACTACAGTGCTAAAATAAAATTAGTGTGTGGTATTGGTTAAATTCTAACATACCTTGATATGTTAAGATATCAAAACAAGTGGTTCATTCAGAAACATCCCTTCTGGTTTTAAAAGATGATTACTAGGATGTGAGAACCTCCAAAACACATTCGCAGAATTACAGTCAAATTAACAAACTACTTGCTAATCTGCTTTGGTTAAGAATTATGAGAAACATATGAAATGCCACATATGACTGAAGTGTGTAAATAACTTTGCAAATTCAGTGAGTAGATTGTTGTTGTTTCAGTGCTTATTCTTTTCAATCTGAAGCACTGTTCTTCTTGTTGATATTTCTGCCTTTGGGCATCTCAGCATCGACCTGAAATCCTAGTCCCTTTTTCTTTTAAGGGGTGGAATTATTGGCTCCACATAATCTCATTTGTATTTGTGGGGCTGAAAGACTTGGATTAGGACTTGTTAATAAAAACAATTTTACGAATAGGTTTCTGAACCATTCAGCCAGCCTGTGTGCTCACTTCTGCTATAAAAACACGTCTGTGGGTAGTCTGTTGCTCTGAATCAGGCTAAGTGACTGTGTGAGAGGTCAGAACTTTCAGCTTGCATTGTATAAAGAGCTTTCTTTTCTAATCAGTGTATCAGGATTTTATTCAGGATGGGTTCATATCCAAGTGTGAACTGTTAAGCTATATTTTTTATGGAACATTTTTCTAATGCTAAAGGTGAAAGAACAGAGCCTCTTAAAGGGAATGTAATTGAATTTTGTATAAATAACAGTATAAAATGTGGTATACTTCCTTGCTCTTCTTTTAAAGTTGGATTAAATACAAAAATGCTTACATTCTTCCTCCTAGCAAATATAATTAATTCTTCCTCTAATGATTCTATTTCCTTTCAGAAAGAGTAAAATGAAATAAACTTCATATTCTTCTGACAGCTGTGCTTCTCTATCGAGCTGCAGTGACACAAATACAAAAGCAATATAATTATTTACAGAGATAAAAATATCTAATCCATTTCATACATTCAAGAAAACCTCCCATATTTCTTTATGAGAATTCTCTGTATTTATCAATGACTTTTTCTGTGTAGTCTGAGAATAGTGACAAACCCAGAGGCTTAGAGAGTAGTGTAAGAAAAGGTATAACAATGTTCCTTATAAATAAGGTGGCAAACTTATGATCAGCTTTTACACTAAGCTAAATTACTTGCCTTCTGAAAATTCTGGTTCAATCTCAGGCCAAACCTAGAGTTTGAAGAGAACTGTTCTTTGCTGAATGTTCTCACACATGAACCCATTGTCTTGCCTTGTTAATATTTATTTTTAAAATATCACTATTCTTGGTTACACCTATTCAAATGCAATGATAAATGAGTTAGTGTTGTCAGTTCAATTTGTCCAAGTTTTCTTTCCTGTCTTTGGGTCAGAAGCAAGATGATTAAAGAACTAGACTGGACACTCCATCTCGTCTTTAAATATCAAATATTAAAATACAATCGTAGAATCATCAAGGGTGGAAAAGACTTCCGAGACCGGTGATATAACAGAAATGCTTTTAATTGGAAGTAAGTTATGTTTATTGTGTTATGTCCCACAGAACCTGCTGAGACAGATAGAGCTGTCAGACAGCGTGTACGTCACCGAGTCGGCGATCAGCAGCCTGTTCAGCCTTACCCAGGAAGGTGCTCATCTGTGCCGTATCATAGCTAAGGTAAGGGCATATATGGACCGATCCAAAGCAAGCTGGTAGTACAAGCAAGTTGTTTTACTTAACACAGTAGCGGTTGCAAGTTTTGAAACGTACAGTGTAAGATGAAATTCTGTGTTTCAGGAGACTAATAATTCAGGTTAAAGAACAACAAAGTTTACTCTGAGAGAGTATTTGCTTCTTCTCTTGCTGCTTTTGCAAGCCTTACTTTGCAGGGTTTACCACCACAAACATCCTATAAGAAATTTTTTTTTTAAAAAGGGCCACAGCCCCCTAGTCTTTAATAAAGCTCTATACCTGTGCAAACAGCTTCAGCAGGATGGCAAGCTCCAACAGGCTTCTGAGCATTGCTTCAATTACAGTGGTCTTTGTGCCATCTGAGGTATTTCCCTTCATCATTTTGGAGAACTTTTTCAATGTCTCTCCTGATAGTACTTTTTAAGTAACAGCCATGTAAGTAGAGAGAAACTTTGTGGTTGACCATGTACCTGGCTGAGAGAAACAGTGTTGCTGTGTGTACAGAGGATGTTAGAGATATTATTAAAGATGTAAATTTAGAAATATTTTACATGCATTATTATCCTTTAACAAAAGAATATCATTACCACTACCTCTGTCAGTGTGTGTTCTTGTTTACTGAATAGTTGGTGCTAACTTTTGGTACAAATGAATCATGTCTGCCAAAATCAACGATCCCTGAAGAGTTTGCACCTTTGAGGACATTTGGATCTTGAAAAAGTGAGAAAGGTGGAACACTGTGTGATGCTGAGGATAGGGTAATCACAACCACAGGGTATGCAGAAAAAAGAAAACCTCCCTCCTTAAGCTTCTGCTTGTGGATTGGTGTGCTAATTCCTTGTCCTACTCAGAGATGAGGTTAACAGCAACTTTGATTAATTTGACTTCTGATGTGCTTTTAGATGGATATTTATGCCATAAAAGGTATTACTCCATTCTGAAGGCTGAGGATGAGGTAGACTCAGAAATGTGTAGTGGATTCTGGCAACAGCCTGACTGGTTTAATTTTTTCTAAATTGGTATTTGAGCTCCACTCAGTGGTACCCAAAAATGATGTTAAAATGTTGAGTACTGAGGAACTGCAGAACTAGCAAACTAATGAAAATTGATGTTGTGCTTTTTATAATTTTGTGACTTCCCTAACAGTTTAATTTAGCAGAATTGAAGTCTCACCTTCCATAAATTACTCAACTAATGTATCGCTAAAACCTGGATGGGTCACAGGTTTATAGCTGAGGAAAAGCATCCCCTTATGCAAAGAACCCCAAGTGGTGTTTGGTTGCCAAATTACAGCTGTGATTGCATCACCTGTCTTGTGTGTCTGTCTCCCGTGTGCACTGTGAAATGCATTTGTCCCAACTCACTCACCATCATCCTTCACCCTCTGTACCCCTTCAGTTACCTGCATCAGTGAACAAGAAGGCAGAGGAACTGTGACAGACCAGATTTTCAAATTCAGCCACTTGAATAGTTAGCTGTAACAGTAAAAGTACAGGGGAAATGGAAAAAAAAAACCCCAAACACTAAAAAAACCCAAAAAACCAAAACCAACCAACCAAAAAAAAACTACCAAAAAAACCCCAAAAACAAACAAACAAAAAATCTGAAATTGCTCTCACTCATTATGAGAGTGAGAAAGGATTAAAAGTCATGCAAATATACCCAAACCTTCCATAGATACTGTAGTTGCCTTGAGAACTCTCGTATTATCCTTGGTAAAAACTACACAGAGAAGTGGGATATTTGTTTACCGTGAAAACAAAACTCAACAAATTTGCTCATTCAACCTTGAAGTCTTACTCTCCATGACAAAGTGTGATCTTGTGGCACACTGTTGTAAGGTGGTTTTTTTTTCCTGCCCTGAGCTATAAATTACAGCTGTCCAGTACACCAAAATCTTGGACATGCAAAAAAAGACCCACGACAGTATTGCAATGCTACGATATAACAGGAACTGATTTCTCACTTCACATTTTGATAAGGGTTTCAGTTTTCTCCCTCCTTCTCCCTCATACCCTGCCAGTTTTTTTTTTTTTTAGCATGTAACTTTGTAATCTGCTGTGAAAGAGTCATGTTGCTGACTCACCCTGGCAGCCAGCTAGTAGTTCTCACTAGCTGTCAGAGGTATAAAGCCTAGGGTCTCTAATATAAATAAGTAGTAACAAGGACGTAATAAGAAAATTAACATTACTTGGAACAAACAGGTTATAAATAGATTTGGCTTTTTAACAGCCAGAAAGGAAAATTAATAAAAAATCTGTAACAGAGGTATAATAAATAAATACTGGGACATAGAGTGATAAGGAAAAAAATCTTTTTCGAAAAATCCATTTTACCAATGATAGGGTCCAATACCAACTGTAATGAATTGGGTGCTGCAATAATTGCCTTGGAAAAGAGAAAGATGCAAAAATGAAGATAGTCATACCTACCTATCACCCCTTTTGGAGAGTGCTCGACTATTTGGTTTCCTTGTGACTGTGCAGCAGATCACTTTCTTTGAGAAGCTTCTAATGCATCTTACCTTACCTTTGTACTCCAGTTCCTTTTCTAGCAAATATGTACTATGAAGGTGTCTTTGGAGATCATCTATCAAGATTATTACAACTGTTTTCAAAGACTTGATGAGAATTTATTGTATTTTGAGTCATTTCAGGCTGAAACTGCAAAATATTCCCTTAGAGTTAGATGCCTTTTCCTTCCTCTTTTTATTCATTCAACTTACTATGCAAAGTGGGGCTTTTCATACACGTGACCTCTTTCACATACTGTTGGTGATTGTATTTCGGGTGATTTTATCTACTGCTAGCCCTTCTGAACAGCACCCACACAGGATATCTCCAAAAACTGAATTCCTATTTATCCCATATGCAAAAGGAGTAGGTCATCAGGTAGTACGGCAAGTGCCTCTCTCTTCTTCTCTGCTTCAGAGTATGTGAAGCCTGTCCCAAATAAAACTTGAATTACAGCAAGAACAAATTTTCGTGTGTTACTTGGTCAAAAAGTCTGCAAAGGGTAAATAAAAGCAAACTTTATACGTTTTGGGAACTTCTGGAAAAGTGGAAGTTAATCTCCAAAGCAAGCAAAACTCAGTAATGTTATGTTTCTTTGTCTAAATGGTACTGTTTACCCATTTGGCCAGTCTTTGTATATCCCTGTCAGACGGAATAGTTTGACATCATTGCAGAAGAAACAGAGGATCTTAAGGGAAGCTTAAAAAAGTTGAATAAATACTGAGAAATGCTCTCATCCCAGTGAAGGGATTGGTTCTGACAAGCCACAGTATCAGGCTCAGTATTTTCTACCTATCTTATATTTCATTTACAGATCTCTAGGTTCATTACTCATCATCAGTATTTTACAGCTTGGTAATGGCACACAAGGCACAAAATAAACAGTTCAGATCTCCTGCTGATGCATGCAGTGATAAATCACTTCCTGTCCATCAGAGGCAAAAGTAGGGCATCCATTTGTCACACAGAAGGCTTGAAGCAAATGTGCCAACATTGCTTGAGCTTTACTAGTATTGTCCATAAACTTCTACTTATTATGACTGCAGTAAAGATTAAAATCATCTCTGATTCCATTGAACTGTGGGAAATTTCAAATATGATAATGAAGTTAAAAAAAAATTAACAAAACCATATCTTTGGCTTGGGGGTGATACTGTAACAGCTTTGTTCCCTATACTTTCGATAGATAATTTAGTTACTGCTTGGGTGAAATATCAGTATCCTTTTGTGGAAGCAAAAATTATAGCTGAAACTTTTTTTAGTGTACTGCCTCTTTTTTTAATTTAAAGACTCAGAAATATCTTTCTGCAATAGGCTATATATAGAAGTGCTAGATATAAAATAACTCCTACAGATACATGAGCACTTCTTACAATTCCAGAAATAAGTTTTACTCTTAGTAAACTTCAGTAAGCTTATTGTTTTCACTGATGTCAAAGAAATTCCATATACATGTGTAAAGACATAATATAAAACTTCCATCTGAAAAATATGTGAAAGTATTAATTTTCTATAACTCTATATAAATTGGTATAATTTCTTTTAGACTGAATAGAGGGCTTCACTTGCTCTATTATTCTCTATTGCATTCAAGCAGAACTGATACAGAGGTATAGAATTCTGAAAATGAGTGAAGTTTGAATTATAGCCTGCAGGTTTTAAGTCAGTACAACTTGTTGAGCTTTCAAATAACACAAATGGTTGAGGAACAAAAAAATAGCATTTCTATTAATCTAAAAAAAAAAAATTAAACAAAGGCTACATAAACAAACCTAAAAAGAAGGGTATATTTTATAGTTGATCCATTATTTCAATTATTTTTAATTTACTGCTGTGGTCTGAATACGTTAGTCTGAGATCTTTTGTCTGGAATCAATACTTGAAATGTTTTTCTCTCCATCACATGTCTGATTTTGCATAATATGAGACATCTGTAGTCTACCTAAAAGCAGAACATTTTGAAATGAAAAATAATTTTAAAAATTCCCATCACATGAAGCACATTTGTTCCTGGTACTTATTTATACCTTTCCATTTGTTATATGAACTTTGCTAACACAAGCTATACTGGAAATGGCTAAGGATAGCTACTCTAATATATACCCAAGTCTCTGTCATTGTTGTTGCATTTAAAGAAAAACATTTAGTAATGCAAATTCTGTCTATTAGAGGATGAAGATATGGATTGTATATACGTATAGAACTTGATAACTATTTCTACCTTATTTTAACTATCTCTTTAACCATGTGACCTTGTTCAAATTTTTAGCATTAAGTAAATATTGCATGGAGCTCAGAAATATGGAGGAATGGGAAATATATGTTAACAAAAATCTGCTTTATATTAGTAGAATATGGCTGAACTATCACTGAAATGTCACTCTAATTGCCACCTATTGATAATTCTTTGTAATTTTTGCATGAATGTCAAGTTTAATTTAAATGGAGCTTGTAATTGGTAAAAGTCAATCACTTAAGCACATCTCCTACTGAGATTATATTACTTTTTCATCACTTAGTGTACAAGCATTAATCAACTTGAGTTCTCTGTGTGAGCTTAACATCACTTTGGTGTTGTTATGGTAGCTAATTTGGATAAATTACTAAAGGAATCTGCCCCCCAGCCTGATCTGGGTTAAACACTAGGAAAACATTCAGTGCTGCATTCCTGATTTTTGTTTTTCCCCTACAGGAAGGAGGTGTAGTCACTCTCTTTAAGATCTGTCGCCAGGATTGTTTCAGATGTCTTTATCCCCAGACACTGAGAACCTTGGCATCAATTTGCTGCGTGGAGGAAGGGATGCACCAGCTGGAAAAGGTAGGCACTTCAGTATTCTTTACTGACTGTGTCATAAAACAGGCAAGTCCTGTCTTTAATCTCTTCTAGGAATTGATAATATGGTGGTGTTTGATACTGATGATGCTCCATGCTATGCTCACCTCTTCTGTGCTGAAAACCTCTTTGGCCTTTACAAAATCAGCCCCAGCAGTAGCATTATTCTATTACCCTTGCACAAATAAGGTTCCTAAGTGGGGATAATTTTTGTAAAACTGGTAAACATCTTGGTGACTATGTCAGAAAAACTAGAGAAATTATAATTTCTGGACTCTCTGGAGTGTTTGTTTAGAAACTCCACTATTTCAAATAATCCTTAAAGGGAGACAGCTTTATACCTCTTTAAATCTTTTCCTGATGCTCTGGTAGGGCAGCTGCTTGTGGTGCTGCATCAATTTGTGAGAGTTATAATTGCACAAGAAGAAGTGCAACAGATATAATTTTTAGCCAAACAAAAAACATGTCTACTAATCAGCAGCAGGTCCCATGAAAGCCAATTTTAACTGGGATGACCAACATCAAAACATTATCCAGATAAAATTATATCAACAGTTTAGGCTCCATTCCTTTCTCACTCTCACCACATACTGCTATGTTTTGGAAAATGAACACTTCTGGTCACTAAATCATGATCTCATCCTTTGTATTTCATAAAACAGTCATCTTCCACAGCTGAATAATGGCCTCTTCAAGTTAATGATAAATGATTTCACTGCCACTTTACACTGACGCATCTTGTAATTTACTGCCCCGAATTCAAGCAAACTGTGACAGAACATCTGAAGCAAAAAGCAAGTCTCTGAGCTTACAGTAAATGAAGATGGCTTAAATTTTTTTTGACATAATGCTATTTCAGACTGACACCAGAATCAGTCTAAAAGGATCTTTCATTATGCCCACTATAATAGGGGAATTAATAGAGTTAGAAATGAAAAAGATTGATTTAACTCACCTGGTCCAATTCCTGGCAGTGCCAACATGTGTTTAACGTGGCCCATATCAAAGCTGATGAAACAGGAGTCCTAGAAAAAGTGTTAACTTTAAAGATCTACTTTAATGTTGGTCACAAGTCAAATATATCAGGGTAAGCTTTACCACAATCAGGATTGAAGTACGGTTTAAAGGATTTTTAACTTAAATACCCACCTTCAAGGACCTTCAATTCTTAAATCACCTCTTGGCAAAACTTAAGTCAGCAACATGAGGGGCTGGACATTAATCCTGTTCACCTGACTGAACAGACAGGTTTATGAAAGGAGTACTTGGTTATTACACTGTCAGCTTCTTTGCCCAAAATCGTGTTACTGAAGATCCATATGTTATGTTGGTCCAGTACATGCCTGGGTTCCTGTTGGGTGAGAATGTGCAATTTCATACGTCAAAAAAAACAGTGGCATTTTCTCTGCAAGGGGGTTAATGTGCTTCCAAGTGCTAACAGAGGTTAAACAACACAGGCCATGTAATCTGTAAATAATCTATCAGAAGGTGGCAGCCCAGGTTTGCCACATCAGAGAGCTGAGGAATGATAGTAAGCAAGAAGGTTTTACTACTGTTTGTACTCTCTTCTCATCCTTCTCATGCATTTATTTAGATGCAAAGAGGTATTCTGACACGGGGATCAATCGAAAGTGCATGGCTCAGATGACCAGTATTTTGGTGGGAACAATACCCCAGTTTTTCATATTGTCTTACTTGGAGAAGAGAGGTTTATTTCTATCCAAAATTTGAAGTACTCTTTCAAAGAACAAAAAGGAGTGTTAACAGTATTAGTATTATCAGTTAAAAGTATCATCATTACAAAAGTTACCATAGGATTATTTAATCTGTCAGGAAGAATGGTTTTTCTTATCCAACTGAATACTGCGTGCTAGTGAAGCATTTAATTTGCTCTAATGTGAATATCATTATGCCACCTAGTGCATTAAAACATCAGTGCAATTTGAACTTGATTTTTAGTGACAGCTGCTCCCTAAAGAAAAAAAAAAAAAAGGCTTGGCCTCCAAAAATTCAGATTAGGCAAATCAAGACAAAAAACCCCACCAAAGCCACACAAGCCCTACCCCCTCTATTTTTCGATTAGATTTTACAGCCATTAAAGTGCTTTAGAAGACCACTTAAAAGAAAGTAGCAAAAGCTATAATTTCTAAGGAAACATTTATCTGAGAGGTGAACTAAAACAGGGTAGTATATTTTCTGCAGTAATTACAGTGCTTAATTACTAAAGATATCAGGAATATATTTTATTTATCCAGTGCTCTTTGATCTTGACAATTCAGTGGCAAGAACATGTGTTAATATAGGCAGCTATTTAGAAAACGAGCAAGGAAGTCGGTAGTTAACAGGAGGTAATCCAAGTAGAGAATATCTTGACTTTTTAACATCTATCTTTAAGATACCTGAGTATTTAGTTTTCTTTATCTTTCTTTATACTTAGCACAATTTTAATGTGAATGATACTATGCTGTGTTTACACCATTTGTCTTGATTTTTGGATTATGATATGGAAATACTGTTCACATATACTAATAAAGGAAAGTAACAAGATGTAGAAAATTACCTATTATAAATAAAAGTATTTCTTTCCATTTAAAAAAAAAATACTTGCTCTTCCCATTCACATATATTTAAATATATCACACTTAAAAAAACCATTATTACTTTTTTGTCATCTTGATTAACAAGCTGATCTTTGCTATAATTGCAGTGACAAGGTAGTTGCAATGAATTTTTTTTTTCCTCACTTAGGTGAATCTAATTGGCTGTGTGTACAATAAAGCAGAATCTGTTGGTTAAAATGCCGGTTTAGAGTAGTTGTTATTTCACTTGCAAGTACTTTACTGAATTTTAAAAAAGTACTGTTACTTTGTTGTACGTTGAGCTATAGAGCTCCAGGAACTCAACAGTAACAAATTAGTCAGGCAATTAAAGTAGAAAATAGTGAAGAAATAGCTCATTTCGTGACTGAGGACTGTGTAAATAAATGTTCTGTGTAAGCTGTGCTTGACAAGTGGTAATTTTGGTGCTTCGAGCTGCTTGCAGATGTCTGGTTGTTTGGTATACTTTAATTTTGTTATCTCCTGTGACAGCAGCAGGTTTGAAAGATCATTGTTTGGTCTCAGCTGTCTGACCAGTTCCACTTCAGAGAGGAGTGGAGAGACCCTGGAAAAGCAATCAGAACACATTATTCGTGTAGCTTCCTGTCCCTGTACCCAAGAGAACCTTGTCACCCGTGTCTTGTGGCTTTTGAGCATGCAAAGTTTTTAGGGCAAAGCTCACTCCATCAGAAAAGATGGGTGTTCATGATTTAGGCATTCCAGAGTTTATGCAGAGACAATATGTAATACAGGTAGTTGGTAATACAGAAAATACATAAAATCTCCTTTCAGAAGAACTGAAAGGAGTTTGTGGGAGGTGAGCACAACTGAAACTGAGGAACAATATTAGTGCTGCACACGCAGGCACAAGTCGTGTATCCTGCCCTGAGATTAAGGACAGAAATACAGTGATGTATTGGGAGATTGGTTCTGAAGACAGATATTCGTTGAGAATTCTGGAGGGAAGAATATCGGAACCTTTATGAGTGTGCTTTGAAAACTTAATTCACCTCAAGGGTTACCATGTAGGAAGGACTGTTGGAGCCACAGAGTTGGGATAAATTATCCTATTTTGTGAAACTTAAGATTCAAGAAAATATTATTGTGATCTTGATAAGGTACATCCTGCAAATTATGTTAGGAATAACTGTACTTTAAATACCGTTTTCGTTGTCAAGACAGACATAAAATCCAACAGATACTGTTTTCAACATGAAGCAACCTTGTCTGGAAATGGGATTTGTGTTTGACTACAATCTTTAGTGTTTGACATACATCTTTATCACATTTGTTTGCCTGTAGCAATTCTTCAGCCTTTTCCCTTCCTGTATTTGCTGGCACACAGCCTCATTAAAGACTGTGGCAGTTTCTCTGCTTCAGGTCTCTCCATACAAAAGTTGTCGTCAGTGGTGCTGCTAAAAGGCATGGAGTTCTAATTTTACCCTACCTGAAGCTCAGCTGTGTGATTTTTTTCACTGAGGCTTCTGCTACAATGAACTTCCTGCTTCAACAAAAGAACTGCAGAGCTAGTTCAGAAATAAATAGCAAACAGTGTAATGTACAGCAGTTTTTACTGTGCCTGTGAAATATTATTACACTAAAAATACTCAGCTCACCTGAGACCTAGATCATGGCTCAATTGCTACAAAAACGTAATGATTATACAAATAGTCATTCAAGCAGCTGCCTAAATATTAAGTGTGCAGTGTATGTTTACTTACACTACTTCAACTACTCCAGAAAGTGAGACACCTGGAATCAAATCATTAAGAGGAGATAATGCAGAGACACCGGTGACAACAGCTGTTACTTTCACTAGTAAACCCCTCTTTTTAACAAACAACACAGCTTTTATCAATGTGCTTTAAGCAAAATTATCTAGGAATAGATTATAAATTGCTTTGAATGCTTCATTTAAAGCACATTATATCAGATTACCTCCAGGAAAAGAATCTGAAAAAGGGTGAAGCAAGCACAAAGTATACAAATTTTGTGGCTGAGAAACTATGAATTTCATAAAGACTTCTTAAACATGAGTCACCTAAAAATTTATTACTCACTGTGAACACAGTTTGATTCTCAAAACAACCATGATCTTATACACAATAATAATTTCTGCATGATGGGAGTCTAGTCTGCCAATGCTACCACTGCAAAAAAACTAAGCTTTTGAGGGGAATTAAGTAAAATGTTTATTATAGAACCTGCAACCACAACTTTTTCATAGCTTTTGAGTGAGTGTGTGTTGATTACCTGATTCAGCTCTAACCATTTTGAGCTTTCAGTTTCAAACATTAGCCTCAGTCAAAACCATGGAACAACTTTGTTTCAGGTGAAGAAATCTCAGCTTTCAAAACCACTAAAGTTCACATAACTATAGGGTGAGAC